ACTAAGAAGGTGCATTCGGCACATTGCAAGGCGAATTTCATACTGCGCGCCTTTTCTTCTAGAAGCATCAAAACCCTGTTTCATCTGTTTGCTACATATGTACGCCCAACTTTGGAATACTGTCCAATGCTGTGGAGCCCTCACACCCGTTCTATGGTTGAGCGTGTTGAAAGTGTTCAGTCCAAGTTTACAGAGCGGATCTTCGCCCGCCCCCCCCCGCCCGCCAGGGCATTTTCCACATTCCGTACAAAGACAGGCTTGAATACTTAAATGAAGATTCCCTGGAAATGCGGAGAAGGCTTAGTGATTATGAGTTTGTTTACAAGCTCTCGGCGGGACTGGTAGACTTAGATTTTGATGTCCTCTTCAGAAAATCTCCAACTATAGGGCGCACCAGGGGTCACCGTTTCAGGGTTCTTAGGGAGAAAACTAGATCGGCTGAGTTTCGCAATTCCTTCACTCAGAGGATTGTAAGCCTCTGGAATGATTTACCGTCAGAGGTTGTTAATTCCAGTACTTCCGTTTCGTTCAGAAATAAACTTAGAAAAATCATGATTTCTCGTGGTTGGTTCTGAGAACAGAAACTAAACAGTGTTCGTGTTAAACAAGGCCAAGATGTGATTCATCTTACCGGTCTAATTTCTGCCCATGTTCATAGAAGTGTTATGTGATGATGTGTAATCCATATTGACCGCTTGTTGGTGTCTAGCTTTTGTTACTTTGTTCGTTGTTGTGATCACTAATCTGCCCACTACAAAGTTCAATCTGCGGCCGTCAGGAAGTGAGTGGTATCAGCAAGGTTGGCGGACCTACTAAGTTGGTATCCGGAGTCCTAAATTTGCTGCCATGGACTTGCAGTGTTGGCGCCCACTGCCCTTCTGCGCTGATTTCCCCTGCAACCTGCAGTGCTAATTTGTTCCATGACCCTTCTGTGTTTTACTTATCGAGTTATGTTTGTTTTCTTTGCTTATAACCGAGTTTTCCTTTGAGTAGTTTGCCGATAATAAATCGTAAATCGTAAAAGATCGTCGCCCCTGCCGCGACTCGGATCTCCTGTACCCACATTCGGAAATAACCGCCAATCAACCGCCAAATAACCAACCGCCAAACAACCGCCAAATAACCGCCGACTTCGATCGTACCTTTAGATATTAACGAATGTTCACGTGGTTTTCATCTATGCGACCCGGACGCTGAGTGTAAGAACCTCGAAGGAAGTTATACTTGTGAGTGCCCTCAGGATAAGGATAAGGAGCTTTATGACGGGCAACCCGAGGTGGATGGACGTCACCTTGTCCGCAATGTCTCATGCATTTGTAAGTGAAATTACTTACTATTTATGACTGGACTGGTCAGAACACAAGAATTCCAGGGAAGGGAGAGACATGCGCCTTTGATGAACTTGCTCCCGTTCTTCAAAAGCACTGGATCACAGTGGATCAGAAGTCGCATTACAGGTATTTTGAGAGAAACTCGAGTACTCTCACTTTGTTGGACAGCTTCAGCAGGCCAAAATGGCCAAAATGGTTCGGGAGGAGTAACGCGGCATCGAGCGCGACGATGCGACTACTCATCTCGCCATCGCGCGGCATAAATGCGTTGTGGACGCGGCGCAGATGGTTCACCGCGCCTGGGCGCATCCGTAGTTGTGGGAATCCAACAGGGGGTCGTATTTGGCCGCTAGGCATGGGACCATTACTCACCTTGAGAAACATTCTTCGTAGTTTGTTATGGTTTCACACGCATTGTATGCCCCACCCCTTCCTTCGACGGCACAATCATGGAGACATTTCGTAAGGCAGCGTAGACTTCGCGACGACGCGCGTCGACGTGATGCCATGTGCTGTAACGCGCGACAACTGCAGCAGCGCTCCAGCAAACCCAGCCACCAACGGGAATCGATCAGCGCCACCCGCGCGGCCCTAGCTGCCAGTGCCAATTGATAACATACTGTGTGATTAGGCAACTCCTAGCCTCTTTGTTCCCATTCTCTCTCAATTCCAGAAGCAGCGCCGATTGATTGCCTTGGAACGCTGTTGCAGTTGCAGGGCGTTACAGTGCGCTACAGCGCGTCGATGAGCGTCATCAGAAAGTCCAAACGCTGCTTGAGATGAAAGGTCTGTTGGAAGGGAGTGGTACCGGAAGAGAAAATTTTGGGATATATTTTGCAGAAATTTTCATGATTGCCCTATATCGCACACCGAGTTGACGATGGAACTTGTAACCCGACCCGAGTATGGCCATGTCTTTTTGGAGCCTTGACTTGGCTATATACACCACTTTCCTATTCCGTGAGAGAGTATAGACAAGCAGACATGGAGGGTGCAGACAAGCAGGCATGATGTGGCGAAGCCGCTCCCCCCTCATC